TGCCTGGACCCCTCCCAGCAACCCTTCCCAGTCACGCAGGGCCTCTCTTCTCCGCGCTGATCCTTCAAGACCAGGGTCTCCCTCACTCACCGCCCCCCTGCGCCCCGCTGGCCCCCAAGTCCAGCCGCCACCCCACCCCACCCCCCGCCCACTCCCTACCGAAGTCCAGAAACTGCTTTATGGACAGCGGGGACGGGGAGAACTTGCTGAAGTGCTCGATGTACTTGGGCGCCCCTGCGAGGGACGCATTCTTCAGCAGCGCGCGGACCCAGCGCATGGCGGCGGCGGCGGCGGCGGCGGCTCGGGCTCCGGCTCCGGCTCGGGCTCCGGCTCGGGGTCCGGTCCCCCTCCCCGGGAGCGGCGCGGCCGCTTGGCTCGGCTCGGCCCAGCCCGGCCGGCACACGGGACCCGCCGCCTCCTCCCCGCCCCGGCCCGGGCGGTCCTCCCCGCCCCGGCCAATCGGCTTGCCGCGGCGCCCCGGCGGCGCCAATGGGCGCTCACAAACAACCCGGGCCGAGCCAATCGCCTCTCGCCCCGGCACGTGGCTTCCCCTGGGCCCGCCCCCTTAACCCCGTCCTCGCCCGGGGCGGCCTGTTGTTTTCGGGAGGCCGCGCGGAGAGTCCGCCTCCCGCGCGCTCGCTCCGCCCTTCCCCCCTCCCGGCCGAGCCCCGCTCCACCCCAGGCTCTTCGGACGGTCGTTCTCCCTGTCCACGTCCTCTCCCGCGCCCCCCGCCCCCAAATCTCCGGGCCTCGCCTTCCCTGAGATCGTCTGGGCAGCTTTCAACGAATCCCTTCCCTCCCGAAGGGACCTGTTCCAGCTGTTCTTCCCCGCTTGCGCTCCCTGGGGGGACGGGTCCCTGTCATCCAGACTGGGAAAGTTTGCCAAGTCGGGGTCAGGATGCACGCCCGTGCTAACCCTCCGTGTAGACATGCACCCCAGCACTTCCACAAAGATCCAAGCGGCTCCGGAAAACACGGCGCCCAGAGTCGAAACCCCAACGCAGGCCTGGCGGCGGTGGGGCAGTCTTTCACATCGGCGCTGGGAGTGCAGTTCTCCACACTTTAATTATTCTCTAATCATTTGACCTTAGAAAGCGACCATCTTCGCACTGGGGTTCCTTAGGGAAAGGCCCTGGCAGGTGATCTGCGCTGGGGACCTGGGAGCCATTCCTGCGCCAGCGTCCTGCGCTGTCTCGCAGGAAAGGAGCTCGGGTTCTTGCGGTGGAACGTGGTACGTCCTGACCCCCGCCTTTCCCTTTGATGTGCCCCCTTCTTCACTGTTCACTCCCTGGGCCGCACTGACCAAGTGCCCGATATGTGCTGGGCTTTGTGCTGAGAACAGGAAAACCACAAAGGATAAGGAAGTAGTTTTTTCCCTCAGCCATTTGTTTTCTCAGTTTGGGAGGTAGCTGCCTAAGTAAATAAGTCGTTACTGTGTAACAGAATGTGATTACGGTCAACACCGAGCTGTGCCCAAGGCTTTGCCACGGAAGGGACTCTTAACTGAATAACAGCCTATGTACCAGGCACTGTTTGCATACATTATCTCCTTTAATTCTCCAGGTGTCTCTCTTGTGCTTCATTATCCCCATTATATAGATAAGGAAACTGAGGCTCAGGGATCATTCTCAAAAGCAAATCTGAACTTGTTTACAGACTTTTTCAGGGGCTTTCTTACTGGAGGCTTTCCAGCTCTTGCACGATCTGCTTTGGCTTAAGTCTCCAGCCTCCTCTTTCCACGTTGCCCTGCTTGACTCCCAGCCACACTTATCTACTGCCTTGAGCAACCTCCAGGCTCCAAACCGTTGCAAATGCTGTCTCTTCTGTCTGGATAATTCTTTCTCCTCACTGCCTATCCATTCTTCAAGGCTCTGACCCTACCAGGCTGGGTTATGGGCTCCCTCTAAAGGCTTCTTAGACCTCCCCAAACTTTTCTTTAAAGATTTTATTTATTTATTCATGAGACACAGAAGGAGAGAGAGAGAGAGAGATCAGGCAGAGGGAGAAGGAGGCTCCATGCAAGGAGCCCAATGTGGGGCTCAATCCCAGATCCCAGGATCACTCCTTGAGCCAAAGGCAGACGCTCAACAGCTGAGCCACCCAGGTGTCCCAGACCTCCCCAAACTTAACACCATTTAGCTCTTATCAAATCTGGAAATCGTTTGCCCGACTCATCTGTCTCCTCCACTAGACTTTAAGCTCCAGGAGGGCAGGGCTGTCTGTGTCTGTGTAATTCACTGCTCTATCTCCAGCACCAGGCACATAGAAGGGAAAAGAGCATGAATAAAGAATTGGGACCACCAGGGAGGCATGCCACAGAGTCATCAGGGAGGACCACCGAATATCCTTCCAGCAAGCAATTAAATCATCGACTATGTTGGTGAGTCAGTCTTCAAGTTGCCCAGAGGAGCATACAGGATGCTTGTGTGAAAAAGCCCAGTCCTGTGCCTGGCACATAGTAAATAATCAATCAATAACAGCTATTACTGTTGTCCAAATTTAAGCAAGGAGGGGCACCTCAGTCGGTTGAGCATTGGACTCCTGGTTTTACCTCAGGTCATGTTCTCAGGGTCATGAGATTGAGCCCCATGTTGAGCTCATAAAGGTATCTGTTTGAGGATTTTATCCCTCTGCCCCTCTCCGTGTGCATGCTCTCTCTCCCTCTCTCTCGGTCTTTCAAAAAAATAAATAAAAAGATAAATAAATATGGGGCGCCTGGGTGGCTTAGCGGTTGAGCATCTGTCTTTGGATCGGGTCATGATCCTGGGATCGAGTATCACACTGAGCTCCCTGAATGGAGCCTGCTTCTCTCTCTGCCTGTGTCTCTCCCTCTCTCTGTGTATCTCATGAATAAATAAATTTTAAAAATTAATCTTAAAAATTTTTAAGTAACGAGGAAAAGGCAGCAAACTCTGAGGCAAGGTAGAGGAGAGAGAGAGATTTCTTCTGATCCTCTCCTTAGTGCTGGACTTTTATATTGTGGCCTCTGCTTGGATCAAAATTCCTTCTGCAGAGATTGCTGCAGTGTGATAATGGGAGTGGTATGGGGTGGTCCAGCTAGGTTAGATGAAGCTGAGGTTAAACTCCCACCAACCTCCCATCCCACACCCCACCATGCCCTAATTTCCCACTACATGTACAAGGAATGTTGGGGGTTGCTCTCAAGGACTCAGATTGGGGCGGGGGAAGGACTCAGATTGGCAGACGTTTTATCTCAAGGCAGGGTTCTACAGTGGCAGAAGGGAGAAAACAGAACTGGGAGACTCCCACCCAGCAATTAACAGTATCAGCCCAGAATTAAGCCACTTCTCTCCTGCTCACAACTCATTGGCTAGAATTTAGTCACATGACCTTACCCAACTAGGAGGGCCCAGGAAGTGCATTCCAGCTCTGTGTCTAGAGGGGGAGAATCACCTTATGGGTCCTTTTAGTGACACAAAAGCCAAGACCCTCTTTGGGAACAGTTTGGAGGTCCTACAGCTCCAAGGAGCTCTAGAAGCTTGACATTATTGAGGACCCTTTTATGTAAGTGGGTATTGCTGCATCTCTGCCATTATGTTTCTTTCATAAAAGTGTAACACCAGTCCTGGAAACAACTACTTATACTGGGGGGGTGGGGGGGGGAGAGACTGTTCTTATCCAAGCATAAACTGTCACACACCCATACACTCACGCACACACAGAAGACTAGGGGCTGTGGGGCACCTGGGTGGCTCAGTGGTTGAGTATCTGCCTTTGGCTCAGGTTATGATCCTGGGATCCTGGGGTCCCTGCTTCAGGGTCCCCACAGGGAGCCTGGTTCTCCCTCTGCCTATGTCTCTGCTTCTCATGAATAAATAAATGAATATAATCTTTAAAAAAAAATGACTAGGGGCTGAGCCTGTGAAGCTGGCCAGAGGGATGTGCAGATCCCTTAGATCCCATCTTTCTTAGGCAGGAATTGGGGGTTTCCATTACTGGTTCTGAGAGCTCCAGGTAGAGGCTGGGGTTTTCCTGGAGGAATGGGACCTTCCACCATTAATCAACCCTGGAAAGGACAGTCCCAGCATAGAAAGTGAGGGGCAGCAGAGGGCAGACACTGCCACTAAGAGGCAGGTTGGAGGACACCCAGGCAGACATCAGGAGGGACTCCTGGGAGAAGAGCCTGGGTCCATGGACTTTCAGAGCAGCTGAATTGAGGATCTGAGCCTTGGCTTCTCTCTGAGTAGTAATTTTCAGCCTTCAGTGAAGTCTTCCAAAGGTCATAGCTTTGAGGACAACTAACAGAAGGACCTATGTCACAATTAGGTCAAAGAAGTCATGGGGACAGCAGCCTTGCTCCATCCTCCCAGGCCTGTGTGGAAGGGTGACCTTAGGAAGTGGAGGGTTTGGTGCAGTGCAGTGGGCTATGGAGGCTAGGTACTGAAGCACTCCCAGAGGAAAGGCCACAAGACTAGGACTCCAGGTACTCCTTCCCAGACACTGGGGGATACCATGATGTTTCAATCTTTCCAGTCTTAGGTCACTGGTTTACCCTTGGATCCACTCATCGTGGTGTCCAGGGATGGGGGTGGAATTGAGCCATTGAAAAACAGGCTCTTATCTGACTGGAGCCACTGGATAAGGGCTCTTGGCTCTCCACCCTTGCACCCAGCCTCCCTCCACCACTATCCAGGACTACCCACTTCTATAGCAAAGTAGTTTCCTGCCTCTTCTGGATCCTGCATATCACCTCCTTGTCCACCAAGGAGGCCTTTTGGATTCTATCCAATCTACTCAGGTCTCGTTCCTGACTTTATGTTCTGGATCTCAGGTATATGTCCACAACCACCCCGTATATCAGGACATCTGATCTGAAAGCAGGGATGGGTATGTCCTGTATACATCGTTACTTTCCCCATCTCTAAGATCCCTGCACCCGGCTTTGTCCACCTAGGGTCAGGTGGATGGCATCACTATCCAACAGACTGAAGTGGGGTTGGGACAAAGTGGGGGCAGTGAGTGGAGGCCGATGCAGAGTATACAAACCGGGAGCTGTTTATTGGTTGCTGTGAGAAGCCTATATACAAAGAAGGCACAAGGAGGGGGAGGGAGCTCCCTGCTACAGTACCATGGAAGGACTGGAAAGGGGGACTGCCAAAAGGCAGGGGTCAGGAGAGGTTTCCTGGAACCAGCCTCAAGTTCTAGAATGGGCCTTAGAACTTAGCCAGTGGGGGAGGAGGCAGAGCTAAGTTGGCTCTGAAAGCCAAGGACAGCCAAGAACTCCACTTCTAGGTCCCCTACCCATGGTCAGTGAGGGCAGAATAGGTTCCAGCCGATGGCGCAGGGACAGGGCTCCCTCCCTGTTCTACATTCAAGCGTCGCTCCCTCCACGATCTTGTCTGGGTGGGGGTGAGGGTGGTCCCTCCGGGCCTTCAGGGGCCTGGATGGTAGTGGTCAGTGAGAAGTGGTATCTCCTCTAGCCTTCCAACAGCTCCTTGGTCCAGGACTGGTCCTCTCCTCTGTTGAGCATTCCACTGTGCTCCCAGGGAAGTCCCGCTGCAGTCTGCCAGGCTGTCCGGTGGCTTGTCTGTATTTCTTCCTTCAGACTGCGTTCCTTGCCAGAATGCAGTCTCCTCCAAGGAGAAGCTTCACAGAGAAGGAAAGCCATCCCAGGACCTTCCTTCTAGTTCACTCTGCTCATGGGTCTGAGCATGCCAGGTCCTGCAAACGCCACCGTGAGCAAACCTGAGGCGGGCCCACTCTGGCACAACTACCGGGAGCTTCGACTGGGGGCCTGGTGCCCTGTTCCCTGTCAGTAGTTTTAGTCTTAATAGCAGAGTCAATCCAGTGACTATGGCTCAAGATGGGTCCAGTGTGAATCAGGGGAGGGTGTCACCACAGTGCAGGCCTTTTCCTCCTGGCTCTGGTGGAGGCCTCTGGCTTGATTTTGGCACAGGCAGAGGCAGAGACACACGTCCATGCACCATCCACAGTGCACAGCATAGGCCACAAGTGACGGGACCCCCATGTGTCCAGGGCACAGGGCTTCGGTATGCTCAGCACTGTGGGGCCATGGCCCTAGCCCTCCTGTGGGGAGAAGCCTGTGGCCAAACAGCACACGCACGTGCTTGAAGAGCTGTGTGTGCCCGCACCTGATGGTGCCAGCCAAAGGCAGTGGCCCCTGTGGACTGTCAGGGGCATAACTTATGATAAATAGAAGGGGCATGGGGGGAGCAGGGGTGAAATCAGGAAGGACGTCAGTAGTATCGGTCCCGAGTCTGCCAGCTCGTCACCCAGTGCTTCTTGGTAGGCAGGGTGCTCCTTGGAGGTGGGTAGCGCTCCTCCTCCCGGATCCGCACTGCGTGGTACTTGGGCATGATCCGGTAATAGCGGGTCCGTTTAAAGAAGTCACACTGGAGTGGGGGTAGGGGGAGACGAGGAAGGGGCATCAGTATCCAGCTCTGGAGGTTATGGGAAGACGTGCCTAGCCCCTTCCTCTCCCACCCAGAGGCCAGAGCCAGGACCCCTGACCCAAGCATGTGCCATCTCCCTGCACTGTGACAGGGAGGGCCAGGTTGCCCACCCTCGGCCCCAGAGGAAGGAGGAGCTGAGGAAGGCAGAGAAAGGGAGGTAGCTGGACACAAAGGGGCAGTCACTGAGGTTGTGGACAGGATGGCTAGGGAGCGTGGTGGCTGACCTGACCACACTGTGGGGGTCAGGGGGATCAGTGTGTCACCCTGGAGGGGCTCCGAGGAGCAAAGGTGCTAGTTCCAGGAGAAGGCCTCCATCTCTGGAGGTGGAAATGGAAGCACAGAATCACTGGAAATTTGCTGTGTGGCCTAGAGATGGGGCCTAGCTTGGGCTTTGCTTCTTTTCCGATCCCCAAAAAGCAAGGGGGGCATGGGGAGCATTTTATGGCTCCCTCTTGGGCTCCAGATCTCTCCAAGGGAGGCAGTTTTGAGACATCTTGAACTCTGCCAGGGCATAGAAGGAGACTGTGGCCTGCTCTTTGGGGAGGTGGCAGGGTAGAGTGAGGTGCAGAGAGGGCCCACAAGGAAGAAGAGCAGATAGGACAGAGTCAGAGGCCCCAGCCAGCTGCGCGGCTCAGGGGAGAGGGTCCGGAGGCCGCGTTACCCGGGTGGGCTGGGGGCAGGGGGCTGCCCCCCGTCAGTAGTCGTCGGTCAGCCTCTCTGTCTCTGACGGCTGGCTCTTCATCTCCGCCTTCTGCCTCTTAGCTTCATACAGGGCGCGAGTGCGGGCTCGCTTGAAGAAGCCGCACTACGGAGGGGAGGAGGTGGGGATGGGCCATCAGGGGGGTGCTGGGGCTGAGGGCTGGGGAGCCTGGATGCCTGGGTCCCAGCCCTGCTTGGTGGTGTGGCCAGCAGCCAGAGCTCCTGGCTTCCCTTTCAGCTTTGCAGGTCCCCCCATTAACCAAGCAGGAATGTCCTGGTGGGTGAGGTGAGGATGGAAGGTGGGGGGCAGGACACTGGAAGCTCGGGAGAAGGTACAGTCAACATGGGAGATGGGTGGGGGTGGGGTGGAAGTGAGGAATGGGATGAAGGGAGAGCTGGTGAGGGTCCACTGGCAAGAGGTCCTAGAGTGGAAGTCTCAGTGGTGGTCTGGGGGGGTCCTAACCTTCCACAGCAGGAGGATGATCAGCCCCAGGAGCAGCAACCCGGCACCCACAGCCACAAGCACCAGCCACAGCTCGATCTCCGCTGGCAGCTCCTCCACCAGGTCAGAGTCAATGTCCACGGAGAACTGGCAGGAGTAAGGAGAGGATCAGCCCTGTATCCACCCCTAGACCCCAAGCTCATCCATCCTGTCCCAGCAGGGCCCAGGACCCTGCTGCTGTTTGACCTATGACCAGCAGGGGGCACTCAGGGACCAGAAAAAGCCCCTGTCTGCCACCAGACAGCAGCAGATTCCTCCAACCTCTGCTTTTCCCTAGGTGCAGACCTGACTCCAAAGGACCAGCTTCAGATCTGGGATGCAGCCTTGAAACCCACACACCTGGGCTTGAGTACCAGCTCCATCCTTGATGAGCTTTTTGGCCCTGAACAAGTAAGGTCACCTCTCTGAATCTCCATTTCATGCTCTCTGATAAGGAGATTATAATGCCTACCTCATGGTATAGCAAAGTGGTCAAGAGCATGGGTTCTGGAGCTAGACTACCTGGGTTCAAGCCTCCATTGTGCTATTCACAGCTGTGTGACCTTGGGCAAGTCACTTAACCTCTCTGTTATTCACCTGTAAAATGGGGATTATCAGAATGATACCTACTTCATAGGTTGCTGGTAAAGATTAAATGTGTTTAATGTCAGTAAACTCCTTTGAGCAATACCTGGTACATAAGCAGCACTCCATAAATATTTACATAAAAACAAAGAATGCAGAGCATATAGTACCATTATTTTTCTTCCCTACAATGGACACACACACACACACACACACATTATAAAATTATAATACATACACTACAACATATATAATCATACATTATAATATATACAATGTAAAATACATATAATAATATATTATTAATATAATTATGATATATATTATACAATATTGTCTATTATATACTATTATAATATAATGTGTAACATACATAGTATATGTTATATATCATATGTAGTTTTTTAATCATGTGTATTATTATAACAAGATTATATTACATATAGTGTATTTTATATATATTGAGAGAAAAAAATTTTTATGATTATATGTGATTATTTCTTTAAACATTTTTAAGGTTTTATTTATTCATGAGAGACAGAGAGAGAGAGAGAGAGGCAGAAACACAGGCAGAGGGAGGAGAAGCAGGCTTCATGCAGGAAGCTCAACATGGGACTCTGGGATTACACCGAGCTGAAGGCAGATGCTCAACCACTGAACCACCCAGGCATCCCTCTTTAAATATTTTGACTATTATTTTTGTTTAAATAAGATGATATGGGGGAATCCCTGGGTGACTCAGCGGTTTAGCGCCTGCCTTCAGCCCAGGGCGTGATCCTAGAGTCTGGGGATCGAGTCCCACGTTGGGCTCCCTGCATGGAGCCTGCTTCTCCCTCTGCCTGTGGTCTCTGCCTCTCTCTGTGTCTCTCATGAATAAATAAAAAATCTAAATAAATAAATAAGATCAAGAAAATGAAAGGTTCCAGTAATTTTACTCCCTAGATATAACTCTTCAGCATTTCAGTGAATCTCATTCCATATTTTTTAATGCATATGTAACACATCCTTTCTTCTTCCACATAAACAGGGTCCCTGTGTGCTACACAAACCCTCCTGCAACCTGCTTCTTCTTTCATCTATAATAATCATCATCTCTTGATGTCAATTAAGGAAGATCAACCTAATGTCCTCTGATGACTGCATAGTCATTCTAGAAAATGTACCACAATTTACTGAACCTATCTCCTACCGAAAGACACGTGGAGTGTTTCATATTTCATGCCATTATAAACCACACTTTAAAATATCTCCATATATTTATATTCACATTATTTGTCCTATTAGCTCCTTAAGATATATTATCATGGGCTGGATCAAAGGAAGTGTGCATTTTAAACCCTAATAGATATTGATAAATTCATTTCCGAAAAGAATCCATCCACTTATACTCTAGCCAATAGCATTTCCTTCTGCCTCATCAGCACCATGCGGCATTATTGTTTTTAATCTTTTCCAATCTGATAGGAAAAAAAAAATCTTGTGGCTGTTATTTTTGTCCTTACTATTGAGGTGACTGTTTCTAGTTTGTCTTGTAACTGCCTGTTTATGTTTATGTTGTCGTTTACCTTTTTTTAAAAATTTTTATTTATTTATGATAGTCACAGAGAGAGAGAGAGAGGCAGAGACACAGGCAGAGGGAGAAGCAGGCTCCATGCACTGGCAGCCCGATGTGGGATTCGATCCTGGGTCTCCAGGATCGCGCCCTGGGCCAAAGGCAGGCGCCAAACCGCTGCACCACCCAGAGATCCCTGTCGTTTACCTTGACATACTAAAAATATATATCAATCTTTCATCATATAAGCTAGAAACATTTTTATTTTTATTATTTATTTTTTTTAAAGCAAAGACAGATCTTTTTATTTATTTATTTATTTAAGATTTTATTTATTTATTCATAGAAACAGAGAGAGAAAGAGAGAGGGGCAGAGGCACAGGCAGAGGGAGAAGCAGGCTCCATGCAGGGAGCCTGACCTGGGACTCGATTCAGGGTCCCCAGGATCACATCCCAGGCTGCAGGTGGCGCTAAACCGCTGCGCCACCAGGGCTGCCCGATCTTTTTTTTTTTTTTTTAAGATTTTTAAATTTATTCATGAGAGACACAGAGAGAGGAAGAGACACAGTCAGAGGGAGAAGCAGGCTCCATACAGGGAGCCTGATGTCGGATTCGATCCTGGGACTCCAGGATCACACCCTGGGCTGAAGGCAGGTACTAAACCGCTGAGCCACCCAGGTGCCCTAGAAACATTTTTAAAAGCAATCTTTCATTTGCCCTTCTAGTTGATCATTTCTTCTGCTATATATACAGATTTAAAATTTCATCCCATCTAATTGGTCAAATGTTCCCTTTGGAACTTCTGGGTTTAGTAAAATAACTCCCTCTTCCCGTAATTAAAGACTATTAAGTTATTTTCTGAATTTTCTTCTGGTATATTGTTTTATTTCCTCTATTTAAATATTTAATCCAACTCCACTGTAGTTTTGGTTATCATGGGAGGTAAAGGTCTGTCTTTACTTTTCAAATGGGTTCTCCCAAAAACCACTTCATAATCTAATTTTCCCCTTTGCTTAAAAATGCCATCTGTAGGGATGCCTAGGTGGCTCAGTGGTTGAGCGTCTGCCTTTGGCTCAGGTCGTGATCCCCAGGTCCTGGGATCAAGTCCCACACTGGGCTCCCTGCAGGGAGTCTGCTTCTCCCTCTGCCTGTGTCTCTGCTTCTCTGTGTCTCTCATGAATAAATAAATAATTTTTTTTTAAATGCCATCCATATAATAAATTTCTATTCTCTTCCCTTGGTCTTTCTGGCCCTTCCTCCACTACCTTCATTTATTTTAGGAGCTGTGCCACAATATATTTAAGCAACCCTCCCTTCGTCTCCTGTATTATGTCCTCCATATTTCCACTACCTTTTCACAAAAAATGATGAACAGTTTTATCATTTTTATTTCCTCTCTGATGTAACTCAGAATCAATTTTGAGAACTTTGTTTTCAAGTTTCCACGGAGATGGAACAACTTCACAGAGAAGTTGTGGGGATCAAATAAGCTCAAGCAAAAAACAAACAAAAACAAAAAAGCTCAAGCAGAGGCTCTCAGTCCTGGTTACACCTTAGAATCACCAGGGGGACTTGTAAAAATACCCAACCTGGTTGGGTCCCACCCTCCACAGACTCAGATCGAATCGATTAGGGGTATGGTCCAGACACTGGAAGTCCTCCAGAGGATTCCCATGTGCTGCCAAGATTGAGAACCATATCGCTAAAGCCTATGAGAGTGCTCTGAAAACATGCCCTGCGCTCCCATGCCCTGGCCAGGTGCTGCTGCTCCTTAATACACTTACTCACCCACACGGTCTTGTTCTCCATGTTGATGGTGGGAATGCTGGTTCGGAGGAACAAGGTAGCCCAGCTGGCTACACTGACTCTATCCAAGTCTCTGTAATCCTGGATTACAGTAAGCGGTGGAAAAGGGGGGAAAGGGTCAAAAGAAGCAGGTGAACCCCTTTGAGCCTCCCTCTTGACCCTGAGCATCCCCGCCCAGGGCACCCTCCCACCACATAGCATCTTTAAGCAGCACCCCAAGGGATCCAAGAGCCAGGCATCTCCACACACAAATGCACATCATTCATGCATCAGGTTCTAGGCCGGATGTTGGGGACAGCAGAGACAAGGAAGGTCACGGTCTAGGGTCAGGTCTCTGGGCTAAATCTGGCCTGTCCCATGCTTTTGTAAATAAGATATTTTTGGCACACAGCCACGCCCATTTGTTTCTATACTGTTTATGGTAGCTTGTGCTTAATCGCAGGACTGGGGATTTGGCAGCATATGCCCCACAAAAGCTGAGAAGATTTATTATCTAGTCATTTACAGAAAAATTTGGTCTAGGTGGCATGAGAAGGCTGGCACGTGAGTTAAGTGCAACCCAGAGCAGAGCATGATAGGTGGTATGCGCGGCTTCTGAGAAAGTTCCGTGTCTGGAGAGGGTGCTTGCAGCTGGAAATCTCAGAAAAGACCTCACTGGAGGTGAAGCGGCTGGGGAGAGCTTGAAGGCTGATTAGGAGTTTACATGCAGAGATAACAGGAGGGGAGCTGGCATTCCGGGGGAAGAAACAGCACTGCAAAGACATGGAGGTGGGAAAGAAACAGATGATGAAGAAATAATGGACACAGGAGAGAAGGTCGTTTGGCTGGAGATGAGCATTACGTCACGTCGGCACCCAGGCACACAATCTAACGCGGACGGGCATACTGTGACAGGTATACAATACTTCCCGTGTAAAACACGATGCTGTCCCCGACACCCGCATGCGCACAGAGGCACATGTACACATGTGAGGCCTTGGGGTGACCCAGGCTCCACCCTCTCCCTGTTGGTCTCCCCACCCTGGCGGGAAGGTGGGGCAATGGAGGCCTCTAGACCCAGGCACTGACCTCAATGAAGGTGCTATTCCAGACTCGCGCCTGCACTGTCACATTGGTGATGACAGGGGTATCAGGAATGGGACACTCCAGCCACACGCAGCGCGTGTGGTCACTGCCACAGGTCTGAGGGGGGCAGGGAATATAGGATATGAGACAGTCTGGTATAAATGGGGCCCAGCACCTCACACCCCTCACACTGAGCCTTTGCTCATGCCAGCTCCTGCCATCTGGGACACCACCTCCTACCTCTCCACCCAGCTAGGCCTCAACTTGCTTCCCGGGCCTGTTCCTTTCTCATTCTCCACAGGGGCTTCCTACACCTCCCACGTCTCCCTGCCTCCCCATTTTCCAGCCCTAATGTCCAAGACTTTGAGCAGCTATATCACCCCCAACAGGATGGGGCTCTCAGGAATAAGCCAGCATCTCTTCCTTTGGCCCAATGTGTGGACTGCTCCCCAAGGGCAAGAGCAGTGGGGATGCCCACCGAGGTAGGAGATGAGTCTTCTTCCCTCTGACTAGGGGCTCCTAAAGGCACAGAGGTCACATCATCTCATCAAACCAGGGTCTCCTGGTGACTAGAACACAATCTCCCTTCCTTCAGTGCCCCCTGGTGCCCACACACCCTATGCTGGTAGTGATAATCCCTTCCAACCTTGCCCTGGCCACTCACCAGCTTTTGCTCAGACTGGGCTTTTTTGGCAGCAGCCAGAGTGACTGGTGGGGGGCCCTGGTCTCCCCCTGGGTCCAGCTGTCTCCGCCTCCGCTGTGGAGATGGGGGTCTGTCCTCAGGGACCTGAGAAAGGAAGAAGATGTTGGCTGGGAGGAATGAGTGGGAGCAGAGTCAGTGGAGAGGCAGGCTCCTAAAGGTATATGAGGAGAGGGAGGGCAAGACACTGGCTGGTCTGCCCTGCAGCATGCAAATGAGATATAATGCAAATGAGATGTAAATGTATTTCAACCCGAAATGGTGTCCTTACAGAGAGAGTCAGATTCAAAGGGTTGACAAGGTCTCCAGGTGGTCGGCAGGGCCAGGACCCATTGCCGTGGATGGTGATCTCTGTGGGGTACAGCAGCCACTTGCCATTGATGACTTCGTAGGGCCACTCCAGCCCTAGGACCAGGGTCCCCAGGGCTGCCAGCCCTTCTCCTACTGGGCCCACCTGTGGGCACAAGGGGGTGTCATGGCCACAGCCTCCTGGAAAACACCCTCCATCTCACCCATCCCCAACCCTCACACCCTCAGACCCCAGACGCATCCCCACCTTCCCAGGAGTCTCCAGCCAGGGTCCCCATAGCCCCCTTACCTGGAACTCATACTTGAGGGGGCTTCCCACGTCCTCCACAGTTTTCATGCCAGATTCACCCATCACTGTCCCCCCAAAGAAACTTTGTAGCCGGTGATTCACTCTAAGGGTAACAAAGATGCTGAAGTTTAAGGAGGTGGGAGGGGCCGGGCCAGAAGGGGTGGACATCAAGGCAGGCCAACTCCAGCTCTTCTTACATCAGGAAGATCTGAGATAAATCCTTGCTTTGCATTGACTATCTGTGTGCTAGTTATTGCTCAAGCAAATTATTTATCCCCCCAGATCCTCAGTTTTTCTATCTATAAAATGGAGTTCATAGCAGTTGCCATACATAGCATGGGGCTGCTGTGGGAAGTCAGTGGACTGCTGTATATAAAATTCCTAGTGGGGCACCTGGGTGGCTCAGTTGGTAGAGCATCTGCCTTCAGCTCAGGTCATGATCTTGGGTCCCATGTTGGGCTCCTTGCCCAGCAAGGGGGTCTGCTTCTACCTCTTCCCTCTGTTCCTCCCTATGCTTTTGTTCTCTTTCAAATAAATAGAAAAAATATATATATTTTTAAATTCCTAGCACCATGAGCTCTCAAGAAATGTAGGGCCACACCAACATCTTGGCCCCAGGGTGGCTGATTCCTCCACTGCTACCTCCCTCGCAAGGGGAATAATAGTAACAACAATTATGATAGTGCTTGTTGTTAAGGGAAAGTGTAACCCAGGGGAAGCAGAGGCCTGAGGATACCAGGTCTAGAGAGAGGTGTCCGAGGAGCTTGGGAGCCACGGGGACAGAGAGGCCATAGCACAGACACGCAGGCTGGGGTAGGGGTGGTACCCACATGCTGAGTGAGGCCTGGAGTGTGTAGTCCACCAGCAGAGTCAGGGTCATGGGCCATAGGTTGTCCTGGTGACTCGACCTGGGGAGGGAACGCGGGAAGTAGGGGAGAGGTATCAGCTGAGGCCTGGGCTGGAGGAGGTCCCAGGGTGCCTCCCTCCTGCCGCAGACTGGCTTCTTGAGGTCACTCACGTAGAGAGCTGCAGCTGCGCCTGGAGCTCCCTTGTGTGCAGGGTCACTCCGATGACCTCGAAGGCAATGAGCAGCTCCACCTGCCATGAGGTCCAGGGAGGCAGAGAGAGGCATTTGGGGCCAGGCAGAGGTGATGCCATGGGGGAGAGAGGGGCTGAACGTTATGCTGGAGTTGGTTCTCCAGCTTCCTCCTCCCACCCCATTCTGGGCAAAGAGTCTCCACCTGCCCACCTGTGTCCACTCTTTCACCTTGTTAGCCTCTTCTTGCTTCCCTGTCCCCTTCTTCTCTGTCCATGCCCTCTCTGCTTTCAACTACATGGCATTGAGCAAGTTACTACACTTTTCTTTTTAAAAAAAAAATTATTTATTAATATGTGAGTGAGAGTGTGTAAGAGGCTAGGGGGAGGGACAAAAGGGGAGAGAGAGAGAGAGAGAGGCAGAGAATCTCAAGCAGATTCCCTGCTGAATGCAGAGCCCCAAGCAGAGCTTGATCTCACCACCCTGAGATCGTGACCTGGGCTGAAATCAAGAGTGAAGCACTTAACTGACTGAGCCATTCAGGTGTCCTGGTTACTCCAACTTTTTAAATCTATGTTTTCTTTCTATGAAAATCATCTACTTCCTCATAAGGTTGTGAGAATAACAGCATAAAAAAAAAAGCGTGAGCATTGGACTCAGGGCCTGGCACATAGCAGGTGATCAGCAAAATCCAGTTCTTCACCTCCTCCTGCTCTAGCTTTGTGCTCCCTAGTGGCCCCATTTTTCTTAGTCTCCGGGTCTCTCCCCATGTCCTCCTGTATCTCCCTGTCCCCAACCCTGACTCTTTGCTTCAAGGAAGCCTGGGAAGCAGGCAGGCAGACCCAAGGTTAAGGGGCTCATCAGAGTAGGAGCCTGGGATCCACAGGGCTGGGAAGGTGTGGCCAGCACTCACCCTCTGGTTCCGTTTGAAGGGGTTCCCCAGTTCACAGACAATGGTCTCATTGGCCTGGCACATCCCAGCCTGAGGAAAGAAGAATCAGGTCTGAGTGGTCAGAGTAGGGCATCTCCCGCCCCTTTCCTGTGGCACTGAATCTGATGCCCTAGAGGCTCGAGCACTGGGTGCTCAGAGCATTAGAGATACTGCAGACGCCTGAGGAAGCCCAGCCAAGAGGAAGTGGGGGGGGGGGTGGACACAGGACAAATGGGGTGCGGGGGCAGGTACTCACGGGGCGCACTGAGGACAGCAGCAGGGCGGGAGGCACCGCCAGGGTGAGCAGCGCCTCGTGGGCATCTTCCCCAGCGCGCTCCCTGCTCGGGGTGTTGGTCACGTCGATGCTCAGGAACAGTTTCCGGCCGTCTCTGCTGTACTGCAGCCTGAGGGGAAGGACCCCAGGCCTGAGCCCAGAGCCCCGCCCCGGGTCAGTTAGGCCCCGCCCCTCAGGTCTACTGAGTGAAGAAAGTCCGTTCTTGGGACAGCCAGGCCCGGCCCTCTAGCCTCCCCCGGAGAAGAAAGCCCCTTTCCTGGCCAGCACAGGCCGCCGGGAGCATCCACCCCGCCAGTCAATGTCCCTGCCCCCAACTGGCCTCTCCCTGCGGCCCCGCCCCTCAGATCGTCCAGGGCCCCGCCCCTCACCTCCTGTTGGCCAATGAAGGCCCGCCCCGCCCTGCCCTTGGCCAATCAGCGCGGCCCAGAGCTCACCTGCTCAGCGGCTGCCCCAGCTCGGACACGAAGGCCGCCTGCATCTGCAAGTTACTGTCGCATTTGTTGTCCTGGCCGCACTCTTTCTGGAAGTGGACCTGGGGGTGGCCAGAGGCGTGAGGACCCCCCCACATACACACACACAGCCCTCTCGCCCCACAGCCTTCCCGGCCCCCCGCCCTCCCGGCTCCGGCCCCACCCACCTCGGTGTGGTTCTCCAGAGCCTGCGCCTGATTCAGGACCGGATAGGGGTCCAGGGACTTCAGCCCCAGCCGGGGGCGCTCAGGCATCCTCAAAGGCAGAGAGTAGTTCATGGAGATGACGATGGGACGGAGTTTGTCACGGAGGTTGTCCTGGGAAATGAGGAGGAGCTGAACCCAGCACTGCGTTCCCATCCCCCGCCACACAGGTTAACTCTTCACACTGCCCTGACCCTCAAAGAGATGAGGTCCCCCCCACCCTGAAAAACCCCAGTAAGACTGAACCCCCTCTGGTCCTGTCATCAAATTGACCCCCTTCCTACAACTTTGATCCACAAGCGAGGTGATGGGACTCCTCCCCAGATATGGGGGTGGGGGTGAAAGGGGGGATTGTTGAGCCTCCCTTTATCCCTGTGGCCCCCAGGATCAGCTCTTTCAACCATGATATCCTAGAGAGGGGCTGAGCTGGTCCCCCACTCACGAACCTCTTTCCCCCCCAGACATCAACTAAATCAAGAGTCTCACACCCCTCACTTTTCTCAGAGGTGATGAGTCCTATGGCGCCCATCCCCACTCCAAGGCTCTCTATCTCTTCCTACCACATACTGTGCCCTATACTTCCTGCAACCCTATGGTCTTCCAGGCCAACCTCCCCCACATCTGTCTTTGGGGAAACTCCAGTCCCTCACCCCTGCCCTGCACAGACTCTGGATACCTCCTCCAGAGAACTTGGAGCAGGTGTCCTGTCCCTTGCCCCTCTCTCACCATCAGGAGCAGTTCCAGCTTCTGGCAGTGCATATCTGGCATGGAGAAGAAGCCGTGGAAGATAGCTGACTGGCTGCGTGCAAAGCGAAGCCTAGGGGGGCGGCGGTCCCGGTCGGCCTCCAGTGTGTAGGCCAGAGCTAGAAATGAATGGGGTGTTATCCAGTGGTCAGGTAAGCATGCCCCTCCCTGCTCCATACCCCCACACTCACTGATGTTTCGCCTGTAGTTGGGGTTCCCAGCACTCTGGTTGTAAGCAAAGCACAGCTCCACCTGCACACTGTTGGGAATCAGAAGACACATAGGAGGTCACAGGGGAACCCAGTCATCCAGGCCCTGGCCTTCACCCCTGCACTGGGCAAGGGAAAACCAGGGCCCTTAGGCAGAAAGGCAGGGGCAAACCTGGGGAGTCCACACAGCTGGTTTGGGGGTGTACTGGGCCTCTTCCCTCCCCACTCCCACTAAAGCCATAGAAAACAGGTTAGAGGAGCTCCTGGGTTGTTCAGTTGGTTAAGTGCTGGACTCTTGGTTTTGGCTTGGGTCATAGGCTCAGGATCATGAAATCTAGCCCCTCACTGGGCTCTGCGCTCAGCGGGGTGAGAGGTCACCAATGGGAAACTGAAGCTCCCTCCTTCAGAAGGAGTTGCCTGAAGTCATCAGTTGTTTGGTGCCCTGCACAGTCTTGTACAGGATGCACTGTCTAGATCTCCTTCTCCCACTCACCCCTGCTTTCTGTTCTGGGTCCCTTTGCTTTCTGATCAGGCCTCATTCACACAAAGGCCTCAGGGTCATCACCCTCATTACTGACACTATCTTAGCAACTAATATATTCTGAGCACTTTGGGTGTATAAGGTGCCACGTGAAGGTCTTTTTGTACATTATCTAATTAAATTATTACAACAATCCTATAAATTCATTATTATTATTAACGTTGTCTTATAGGCAAGAATCTGAGACTCAGATTAACAATTTGCTCAAGGTGGCTCTCTCTCCCACCCACCTATCTCCCTCTTCCCTCCTCCTCCAGGACCTCACTCCCCAGAGTCCACCTCTACCACTGCAATGGGAATTGCTGGGATTGAACAAGGTGGTCTAGAACCCCTACTCCTAACCATCATGCTCTAATATTTACCCTCCAGTTTGCCCATGACCTCCTGCAAGGAAGTTGGCTTTTTTAATAAGGTTGGGTAGGAGGGGCAATGCTTACCCCAGCACTCATCTCATATCAGGAGGGGGCTGGGAGCCAAGGTCCTTCCTGGCGTGCCCATACATAAGGAGGGGTGCGTGGACAGAACAGGGGCTGAGAGTCTCACCAGGAGGTGGCTGTGCAGAGTGCAGGATCCAGCACGGATGGCCTGGCCACCAGTGTCTTGTGGAGGATGTTGATGACAGGCCGTGCCCTACATAGAAAACACACATATACCAGTGCCCCCTGCCTGCCCCCTGCCAGGACAGGACTGTGGCTCAGGCTTGCATGGGCCTGGTGTTGAAGGTGGGCAGAGATGGGACTGCATGCAGACAGGGCTGGAAGAGAGAAAGGTCCCTGGCTTACCGCAGCAGGACAATGCGGTCTGACAGGCTCCCCACTAGCAGGTCTGGGTACAAGTTCTCATCCACATCCATTTGCCCACTCAGTGAGTAGCCAAAGGTGGCCAAGCCAGGCAGTCCCAGCTCCTCCCCATGGATTACCTGGGAAAAGGGGGAAACAGTGAGGGCAGGCTCAGGGTGAGCCCTGGGGAGTGGGGCCTAGTGGTAACAGGGAGAGGGCGGGTGAGGGGAAGGAGGCAAAGCTCCCTTTGTTCCTGTCCATTCATACCTGCTGCGGCTCTCTGAGGAGCCCCCTGGAGCTGCTGTGGTAGATGTACACTTTGCCCAAGCCCTCGAACGGGGCTCCCACAGCAATGTCTGGGGAAGAGAGGCAGGACAGGTCACCCTGAGTATGATGGGCCCCAAGTCCCCCGGACCTTGCACTCCAGGTCATGGGGTCCAGCAGGAAATTAACCTCACACTGCCAGACAGTGCTCAGAACATCAGGGAACAGAGCTCTGCGGCTCAAGATTAAAACTGGGACCACTGTGAGCCCAGTTGCCTCCTTTTCTATGTGAGAAGGTAGGTCTAGGAGAGGCAAGTGATTTACCTAAAGTCACACAGCCAGTTAATATCACAAGCAGGCCTAAACTCCAGATGCCTGCTCACTGGCCTAGTGTTTGTTTTCCCTTACTATGGTACCTTCCATCCCCACCACCAACCTCCCCTTCAGACACCCAGTTCTTCTAATGACATTTACCAGAAGAGCCACAAAAGGAAGTGTTCCCCACTGGTGACTTTGCCAGGCAGTTATCAAGCACTCATCTCACTTAATCCTGACAAGATTGCTGGGGGTAGGTACTGCCGTCCCATTTTAAAGGTGAGGAAGCAGAGTCAGAAACCAAAGTCACACAGCTAATGAGTAGAAAAGAGGATAGTTGAGTCCATATCTAACACCAGGGGCTGGAATTTTAATCACACTATAACTTTCCATGTTAAAACTCTTTAGACTTTAGACTTCTAAAAATTCTAACCATCATTGCTACAAATAAACCCCAAATGTTTTATTATCTTCTTAAACTTTACTAAACTCTTGCTAGTTCACTGCTTTTGATCTGATAGGGCCTAGGTAACCAGAAAGCCAAGCTTGTTAGAAAAGTATGTAAAGGAAAGAGTAAGCAGGTCCTGAGTCGAAACCGGATGCCTCTTCTATCAGTAAATGCTTAGGCTTTGCTAACTGAACTTTGAACTTTCTAGCACCTACTTTGGCTCTTTAGAGACTCCTCTGCCTTCCTTTTGGCTCAGGTATGTTCTGGGAAATTGAGGTGGTGAAAAAAGTGGTTTCCAGATAAGTCAGGTGCTCCCATGGCAACCAGGCTCTTCCTAAATTTCTTTCCTTGATACCCCAGGTCTGACTGGTCCCCAAGTCCTGCAGAGCACTGGACATCCTCTATATCTGGGGTTCCCACTTTATCCCAGCCCTTAAATCCCATACTTGATATAATACATTCTTGATATTAACACCTCCAGCCTTGCTGTCCCCAGCCATCCCATGTCACCCTCCAGGATCAGCTTTCAAGGTACCAAGCTATGATATCACATCCCTGCGCAAAACCTTTTCTGGACGCCCCTCCACCATTTTTCAAATGTAAAGCCCCAGTTCCTCTGCCTGGCTTTCAAAGCATCCACTCCATCTCCACACTGCCCCTCCAGCCTCATGCATCTCTAATGTGAACACCCTACATCTACTAAATTTGGGTAGATCAGACAAGTATCCCACACTCATGTTGTGCCCCTCATTGTGCACACTCAGCCCAGCCCCTGATGCCGGGAGGAGTGGTATATCCTGTCCTCTGGGAGGCCCACCGAGCTCGCCACTCATGGCTCCCTTGCACAGCCTCTCTCTATTACTGCTGTGAGCTCCTTGGACCCGGACCCCATCCCGTCTCCTTTTCGGGTCCTGTCAAGCCTGGTATGCAGCTGGCACTCCATTAGTGGGTATGCTGGGGCAGGAGTGCTGGCTCGTACCCTGGAATCCATCCTGGTTGATGTCACCAATGCTGGCCACGGAGAAGCCAAAGGCGGAACGACTCGGGCCATGAAGAAGGAGGGAGGGGTGGGCAGGGAAGGAGGTGCCTGCCTGGTTCATGAAGACATAGATGGCACCCCCTACCTCTTCTTTCCGCTCAAAGTAGTATGGGGCTCCCACCAGGATGTCCTGCCACCTGCAAAGGAGAGAAGGAGGGAGAAATAGGAGTGTGGGGTCAGCCTCCAATATACAACATAACTCTTGTTTAGCAGACACAGTTGTGCCAGGGCACAAGGCTATACAAATGGCATCTCTGGCCATGGTTCACGGGAAGGACATGGAAATGCTAACATGACCCATCTAATAGGAAACACAGGTCATGGAGAAGCCATGGAGGGCAGATCACACCCAAACAACCCATATCCCCTAGAACCATAAAATGACAAAAGGAGATGCAGGTGTCATGCAATTGACATGTAAATACCCATAACCGCATCAAGTCTCATTGCAAATCAATATGCAAATTAGACTTGCAAATCCCTGTAAACAGCATGCAAACAAATGAACAATCACAACCTTGCATTTCTCTGGGAAAAAAATGCATTCCTATTGGGCAAGCCTGCCCCCCTACCCATTCTCCCTGGTCCCAGCGAATGTCCCTGGAGTCTCACCCATCATTGTTCAGGTCTGCCAGGGCAATGGCGCTGCCAAAATAGGCGCCCACCTGCGTACCCTCCAGCACCTGCCTCCTCCGCAGGTCTCCACCTGCCTCCTGGCTCAACAAGAAGACAGCACCCATATGTTGGTGTCGGGGAGCACCTGTCACAATGGTGATGTCCGTGGGATGCAGGATGGCACTGCCCACCTGCACCGTGTATCCTGGGATGGGGGAAAGGTGGTCAATCAAGGCCCAGTGAACTTTGCCCCTTCCATTCTGGATCCAGCCCCTCAGACTCCCCAAATATCTTCTATTCCAAGTTGGACAAGAAAGTGGACTCTGGATGCATTTTGGGTGCTCAGAACAGGCCCGGCATACAGGCGGTGCTCAACAAGTGTGTGCTAGTTGAACTAAATGCCACTAGTCACACATACGCCATGGTGTCACTCTTCCACCAGGCACTGAAGGTGAGAGGCCAGTGTGCTGGGAATGGAATCCCCTTCTTCCTCCACCACCCAATGAGCCACCACAGCTGGACTCACCAATATAGAGGTTTCCTTGGTCCTCTGGGTCCTTATAACTAAATTCGGATAAATCCCAGTCCTTCCGCTGAATCATGTAGCTGTTTCCTTCACAAGAATTGCAGGAGGGGAAAGGGAGGAGCTGAAATCACTCCCTTCAACCACCACATCCAGGTCCCCCTGCTACCCCCACCCAAGAAAAATATAATAACACCTTTTATTTGTGAGCACTTTGCCTTTGGCAAATCACATCCGCTTTATCTTAGTCATTCTGTGAAGTAGAATGATAATGCCCATTTTGCAGATGAAGAAAGCAAGGCTCAGGGACAGGGGATAGTTGCTGAGCCAGGGCTGGAATCTGGTCATCCAGGCTCCTGGTTACTAAGTGACACTTCCCTCACTCAAGACACTGAGGCCAGACTCCATGCTGTTATCTCCTGATCCTGCCCCTATGCTTGTGCTGCATACCTGCCCCTGTGCTCTGGGGCTGCTGCTGGAGAGTACCTGCTGCCCTGCCCTGCCCTGCCGAGATTCTAAAGGACCAGGAGTAGGGGAGGCAGGATCAGAGGACTGAGCAGAGGCCTCCGCCTCCAGTGAGTCTGGAGCTACAACTATGCCCTGGGCTACCTGTTGGTCAAGAGGAGATGATTCAGGGCTCCCTCTGCCTGTTGATTCTGCAATTAAGAAGGATGCAGGGGATCCCTGGGTGGCTCAGCGGTTTGGCGCCTGGCTTTGGCCCAGGGCGTGATCCTGGAGTCCGGGGATCAAGTCCCGCATCGGGCTCCCTGCATGGAGCCTGCTTCTTTCTCTGCCTGTGTCTCTCTGTCTCTCTGTGTATCTCATGAGTAAATAAATAAAATATTTTTAAAAAATAGAAAAAAAAAAGGACGCAGTAAGGAGAGAAGGCTCAAATGTAGCTATAACCTGTGTGGTGGAGAAAGGCAGAGATGGCAGGGTGAGCCCCAGACCCCCCCGAGTGGTAGTGTGGCCATGCAGCTACAAGCACGGCTCTTGATACAAAGAAATACTCCATGGGTCCCCCCAAAGATTGGCCTGTATGTATTGATGAGAACAAATGCCCCAACTTGTTGATAAGTGGGAAGAGAAAGTAGCAGGACAGCATGTTTAATGTGATTCTGGGTATGTGTGTGGTTTTAAAGATATCTATATATTCTAAAATAGAGGCTCCGCAAGATACTTGGCAGTCTGCACAGGGAAACAGGACAAGGGAGGTGGGTGGGAGAAGAGGGGCACTTTTACTCTTTGTTTCTCCAAGTCCTACTGTCCCAGTTAGTAGTTGTACCAGGAGCATGTTTTACTTTAATAAGGTTTTAGGTGCTTGAGGTGGAGTCAGATGGACGTGTGTTTCAGTTCAGGTCTGGTAACTTACTGTCAGCCTTGGACAATTGACTTCACTTCTCGGAGGCTCAGTCTTCTATAAAACGGGTGCAAGGACACTTGCCTCATAAAAGTCTTTTAAGATTAATAGACATAATAAGCGCTTGAAGCGATGTGGGCAAAGAGGTCTCTTCTGCCCTCTAGTGTGGAGGGTCTGAGCCAGATGTCCCTGTAGCTAACTGGGAGTGGGTGGTCTCTGCTCCTCCTCCACCCTCCCCATCCTCCTTCCCCCATCCCCCACGGCCCCTACCTTTCCAGTTGTAGGCACCGGGAGCCCCGAAGTACACGGTATTCTGGGTGAAGCCACCGCTGGTGCCCAGCTGGCACATGCCTGTTGCCAGGTAGTCAGTGTTGCTATTACACATCTCATTGTGGTAGGTCTGCCAATCATCAGTGGGGTCCAGCTCGAGGTCATTGCCCCGCACATAGCACTTGCCCACCATGCGCCGCTGGTCCTCCGATCCTGACCATAGCACCTGGGTGTAGCGGTGGGCGCAGACCTGGGGACACACACCCCCAACACACACAGCCTGAGCCTGTGACAAGGACCAAAGGCCAGTTGTTTCCTTGGCCCTTTGCACCTCTGGCTTTGCTGGAGAGGAGCTGGAAAAGGTCTCTGGGCTTTTCTTTCTTCCCACAGTGACACCTGGACCTGTGTCTCCTTTCCAGGATTCAGAAATCTGCGCTGAAGGCTGGGAACACTTTTGGGGAAGGCCAGGAGGTCCTGGATTTGAGAGCCTTACAGATCTTGGCAAAAGGAAAAGGGGAAAGGATGAAGGAATGTGGGTCCAGGCTCTTGGGTCTAAAAGGAGCTAGTTAGGGGCACGCCTGGGTGGCTCAGTGGTTGAGTGTCTGCCTTCGGCTCAGGGTGTGGTCCCGGAGTCCCGAGATGGAGTCCCACATCAGACTCCCCATAGGAAGCCTGCTTCTCCCTCTGCCTATGTTTCTGCCTCTCTCTCTCTGTGTCTCTCATGAATGAATAAAATATTTTCAATAAATAAATAAACAAACAAACAAACAAACATAGACACAAAGCAGATTAAGGAACTTACTTCTCTGCTGTGCCCTCTTCATGGATGGGCCATTATTAAAATAATAGCAATGACAGCAGTAATAACAGCTAACACCTACTGAGTCCTTACTGTATGCTGGACAGAAGTCTAAACTCCTCTCATATTGCCTCCAGGATGCCTCCCAATATCCCTGGGGAGTAGAGACAATTTCTACCACCCCCACCCCATTTTAGATAAGAAAACTGAGGCACAGAGAACTAAGTCTCTAAGATCTCACATCTAGAGAGAAGCGGAGAATACTCAAACCAAGGCTGTCAGGCTCCTGAGTCTGAGCTCCTAAGCGCTAGGCTGCTCCGCCTCTCTGGTAGCTTCTCCCCACATATTGGAGGTGTTCAACAAACAGCTGCAGGACAAATCAGGCAGAACAGAGCATTTGTAAAACAGCAGGGGCAGGCGAAACCCAGAACTGGGCCTGGGTCTTGCTTGCTTGCTCTCTGTGTCTCCTGCCAGCTGTGAGCTCCAGCAGCAGCGGTTCTGAGTCACTACTAAGCTTCCAGTGTTAGCAGATGCGTGACACACAGTAGGGGCTCACTGGACATTTGTTTTTTGTTTTTTTGTTTTGTTTTATTTTGTTTTAGATTTTATTTATTTATTTATGAGAGAGAGGCAGAGACACAGGCAGAGGGAGAAGCAGGCTCCATACAGGGAGCCTGACATGGGGCTCGATCCCAGGTCTCCAGGATCACGCCCTGGGCCGAAGGCGGCGCTAAACCACGGAGCCAAACCACGGAGCCACCCAGGGTGCCCTGGACATTTGCTGAACGGGTAAGCAGACAACTGCTGAAGGGCCTGGGACCTACAATTGCCTTAAATGGAATGCTAGACCACCTGCTGTCCATAACATGGTTCTAAAAATGGCATTTCAGTGAACTGATGCAAACCCCTGGAGCTTAAAACTGTTCAAAGGTGAAAGAAATTGCAACAGAGATGACCATGGGGGTGGCGATTGATTGGAAGGGGGGCACACTTTCTGGAGTGATGTAAATATTTCTTTAATGAGTGTCAATTACACAGGTGTTTCATTTGTCAAACCTCATTAAAACTCAATATCTGTACATTTTGCTATCTGTAAATTTCACATCACACTTTTTTTTTTAAGTGGAGAAAAAAAAAAAGGAGAATTGCCTATCTGGGATTCAGAAATTGAGACTCCAGGGGCTGACACTGAAGAATGTAGCCAGGAAGTGACAAGTGACAGCAGGGAGTGGCCCCCAAAGCCCAGCGGGTGAGCTGGGGTCAGCAGGGCTGTGTCTCTTCCACGGGCCAGCCTGTCAGGAAGGAGCAGGCCCAGGCCACACTGCCCCGGGCTCTCTCTGCCCTTTTCTCCTCACAGTTCCCTCAGCTCATTCCCACGAAGGGTGAGCACCCTAGGAGGGGAAAGGAAGTGGGTGATTCAGACAGGACCCAAGCCATGCCAGGCCCTGGAAGCATGCCATAAGTGAAGGATCAAGGGGACACTTGAGCCCATGGAGACATACAGTCATATAAATGGACATTTCCAAGGTCCCAGCTCACTCACTAAACACCCCTCTCCCATCCTCTGCTTCCCTCCCCAGCTCCTGGGAAATGGAGGGCGGAGCGGGGGGGGGGGGGGGGGGGGGGGGGGGGGGGGGGGGAGCGGACAGTAAGTGCCCACTTACCAGGACTCTGCCCGCAGGGCCCTGGCTGGCCACAGTCACCCCGAGCCACATGTCCTCAATAATGTGATGGTCAGGGTCACCTGTGGGCATGGGAGGGATCATGAGCCAGGGCACCCATGTTCCTGGTGCTTGGAGCCTCCAGAGGGCAGGAGTTGGTCTTCCTGGCTTTCCACTACTGCAGGCAGCCCTCCCTTGCCCTCCTCCAGCTCACCAGGAATCTCAGCTCTACAAATCCCATGTGGTCCCACTTTCCTCTAGAGCTCCCTCCCCCCAGCTGGACAAGAAGGGACTAGAAACTGCCCAGGTAAGCCTGATAGCTCCTCCAGGTCACCCTCTGTGCTACCTGGCCCCCTCCCCCACCAGGCTCCTGTCCCCACGCTGATCCTCAGCGCCTTTTCCCTCACTTTTCTCTGAGATGTCCATCCGCTCACAGTCGTTCTTGTGGGCAGTGAGTGGGCACAGGTACACGGCACCGGTCCGGTTGGTATAGCCATCAGGCACAGCGAGGTCCTGGGGAGCACCAGCCAGGAGCCTGGGGTGGGGGGTGGGGGGCAATGAGGCTGGTGGGCCTGGGCTCAGACTTCCCAAAGCCTGCTGCAAACAACTTTCTGTTCAATATGTTTGCTGAGTGTCTGCTGCGTCCCTGGTGCCAGGCTGTGTGCCAGGCTCTGGTGTCAGGAGATGAATGGATCCTGGCCCCTGCCCTCCAGGAGTGGCCAATGCAGGAGAGGCAGGCAAGAAAACAGATATCTGCAGTGAGTGCCTCGGGAGAGGCTCACGTAAGACGGGAACCTGGTCAGAGTCTGAGGATGATGACCAGGGCTCACCAGGAGAAAAGGAGGAAGGGTACTTCAGGCAAAGGTATGACATGTGCAAGGGCAGGAAGCATGAGCAAGCAGGGTGACTCAGGATTTGCAAGGCTCTTTATACAGCAGGAGCTGGGAACATGGAGGAGGGACCCAGGGGGCAGGGGGACCTGGGGGTTGGTGGTGGAAGGGGAGCCCAGAAGGGCAGGTTGGGAAGGGATTTTTAAGCAAGGGAGTGACATGATCAGATCTGGGGTTTGAAAGGAATGTTTGGCATCTGAATGACATGGTCAGATCTGGGTTTTGAAAGGAATGCTTTGGCCTCTGAGGTGAAGGTAGACGGGAAGAGAGAATGACCAGGGGAATCCCCGCACAGGGATCAACTTCCAGGGCGGCCTGAGAACACGTGAAGGGCGTAGGGGCAGTGCTGGAGGCCTGGGTCCCTCCTAGGTCTAGGGGCTAGCACTGAAGAATGGCAGCAGGAGATGACAACTGAATGCAGTGGGTGTCCCCAAAACTGGAGCTGCATGAGCTGCAGCCAGCAGGGCCCCTGAATGACCTGCGTGAGGTCTACTCTCCCCAGCACGTCACTGCCACTACCCTGAGACAGGCATACAAGGGCTGGGAGTGCTGGGTACCTGGCCCTTTGGACAGTGGGGCCACAGGGCCACATTCTTGGCAGGTGGGCATGAGAGTGGGGATTGGCCCCAGCCTGCCCAGCACCCATCTTTGGGGACAATGACTGCAAAACAAGTTCCTACAAGGGTGCTTAGGGCCCTCGCCACCCACCCCATCCCAGACAGGTGGCTAGAGGAGAGGAAGGCAGATCAGCCTGGAAGCAGTATCTCAGAAGACAAGGTCCTTGGCCCACCAGTATGAGAAATCCCCAGCATATTTGTTAAAAAACAGCAAATTCCTCAGCCTGCCACAGACCATCTGCATTGCATCTGGGGGTAGGGCCCTAGAACCTGCATATTTAACATGTATCCCAAATACTGTGCTCCTCAGTTTGAGAAGACAGCTCTACCACCCTTTGCTCTCGGGATATCACCTCCTGGTAGCCTCTGGACATTCTGCTAGGATTGCCAGCCAGATCCTGATGGACACAGCCTCCTGGGTGGCAGGTACCTCCTAGGTACCCCTCAATCAAGCTCCAGCAACACTATCACCCCGAGGCTCTGGGCTTCCTGCCAGAGTCTGGAGGTACATAGCAACGGCCCCGCCTGCAACTCCTGCCTGGGACCTGTGAGTGAGGGCTCCAGGGAGTGGGCAGGGCAGGGCCTGGGCATGCCGGGACCTGGGGTGCCTCCGCCCACTGGCTGTGAGGAATGCACTGCCTGGGGTGCTGGGAAGGGGTGGGATCTCTGCCTGCACCTCACATCTCAGCTCAGAGCTCGCCCTGGGAAGCATCCCTGGGGGCAAGGGTGCAGCTTCTCCAAGCAGAGCAGTGCTAGGAGGGGCTGGGGGAAAGCTGGCAGGGCACCAGGGTGGCAGCCAGGCCCCATTAGTCACCCTCTGCCCGGCTGGAGAGGGTGCTCGGTGAGTCCGCTGCCTGACCACCCATGGACATCTGCCCCGGCGCCACTGACAAGTGAGAGAGGGAAGGAAGAGCCTGTGGGAAAGGAACCTAAGGGCCTGGTTCTCGGCTTTGTTCTGCCTCCTGGGGCAATTTTTTCCGTCTCTGAGCTGTAAGTGCCTCATCTGTGAAATGGGAACAGCAGCTGTCCCATCAACCTCCAGGGCTGTTGAGGGGAACAAACAGGTTCATTCTTCACAAGAGCTTTCTGACTCCGAAGTCATGGCCAACGTGAGCACTGTCTGTCCAGTTTCTGGTGGCATCAGGGACTGGCCCTGGCTCACCCCCAGGTGTTCCTCCAAGCACCCAGGAATCTTTGCCCCATCAGGTTAGTGAGTCTAGAACAGAGGGCAAACAGCAGACTGGTTCAGCTATTTACAGGGAGCAGAGGAGGGGACCTAAGCAGTCCTTCGTGGCGGTGGAATCACTGAGGCGGGGTGTGTTCTAGCGTCATTGTCCCGATCTGGCTGGAGGTAGAAGCTGAGTGTTGGCTATCATGAATTTGAAGGGACAGGTCCAGGCCTGGGGGGGGGGGGCGGCAAGGAGTCCCAGGGGAGCCCTGGTTGCTTTCCAGGGTGTGAAATGCAGTGCAAGTATGGCTTTGCCCCAGATGCAGCCCTGACCAAGCTGTTGGGGCATGAGACAGCTCAGGAGCAGGGTGGCCATGACCTCTCAGCTTTGCTCATCTCAGGGGGAGTGGACTGAGGGACCCCTCCTCTTAGCCTCCTGGGGTACCGAGCAGGCAAAGCCAAACAAGAATGGCAACTGGGGTTGAAATAAACCCCTTTGGGCAGCCCGGGTGGCTCAGCGGTTTAGCGCCACCTTCAGCCCAGGGTGTGATCCTGGAGACCCAGGATCGAGCCCTACGTAGGGCTCCCTGCATAGAGCCTGCTTCTCCCTCTGCCTGTGTCTCTGCCCCTCTCTCTCTCTCTCTCTCTCTCTCTCTCTCTCTCTCTCTGTCTGTCTCTCATGAATAAATCAATAAATAAAATCTTAAAAAAAAAGAAATAAACCCCTTTACCATCTATACCCACTCAGCCCTCACCCTGCACCAGCTTTGTGCCCACTGATGGGTTATGGGGCAGGGCGAGTGCCCTAATTCCAGCCCCACATCCCAGGCCCCTCCCTCCCCAGAGATTCCAAAGGAGCCCCCCTCCTCCAGCCCCCCTGGAGTATTTTTAGCTTCTACTTGGCCTGCTCAGAGGCCCTTTAAGGCCCTCTGGCTCCCAGCCCGGGATCCAATGGGTCTACAGCCAGAGGACCGGGAGTTAGATGGAGAAAGGCATGTGCAGAGGGTCAGGTCCAGCTTCCTTAAGCTGCAGCCAGGTGTGGGAGAGACCTTGCTGGCATGTAAGTGAAATGTAAAACAATATGCAAAGGAGCACCTCTGCTGCCTGCCGTTGGGTCTGGTCCAGATAAGTGAGTCCAGAAGCTGACCCCTCCCAGACCGCCACGGAGTCCAACCTCCAGGCTGCGGTCAGAAGGGAGGCTAGTAGGATGCTTTGCCCAGCTCTTGAAGCACAGAAGAAAGGAGATCTGACCTCCCCTCTCCTGGAGCCGGGTTGGACCCCTCCAGGAGCTAGGGGGATGGATGAAATGACCTCTCAAGGGCTTTCTGACAGCCTCTTCTTTGGCTCCAGCCAGACAGCCCATCCTGGCCTCTGGGGAGCCCCTTGAACTCCAAGTTCCATAAAAGCACTTCCTCAACTGGGTTCCATCACTCTTCCTTGGGTGGGGGGCTGTGGGGGTTGGTGTTCAAAGCTAATGCAACAGCCAAGCTGAAAACAGCAGTATGGGAGGAGGCTGGGGAATGGAGCTAAGGAGCATTCAAGACACCAGGTTGGCTCTCCTTGCAGAGAAGAAGGCTCCCTGGGGGACACTGGGGTGGGGTGATGCTCAGAGAAATTGCCTGTAAGATTCAACTTCCCAGGATCCTCATCAGGGAGGTGCCTGGGAAGCTTTTAGTTAACGTGGGGGGGCCAGAGGGGCGAGCATTCAGACCACAGGCCCCATGCCTTTCTCCTCAGGCCGGGCGGGGGCGGGGGGGCAGTGGCGCAGGGCACTGCTACAGTTTGACTCCAGGGGTGGGGGTGGGGGCAGCTCTCAGATGCTGGATCCCAGCTCTGTGCCCATCCTGCTGCCCGAATTAGCCAACTCCCCAGAGGCTGCTTGCTCCAGTGAGCTGAGCCGCAGCCCTCTCCATCCTCCCCCCACATCGCCCTTACTCTGCCCACCCAGCCCCCTCTCCCCACTGGTGACTCAGCCCTAGAACCAGAGCAACAGGCTGGAGGAAGCGAGAGAATGAGAGAGGACAGGAGAAAGAGGCCATGTCCCCAAAGAAGGCTGTTTTTCTCATTTCTTCTCCCTCTTGCTGGCTCCTTAGTATCTTTTCCATATTTGATCCCTTGGGGCATTCTTCATGTTATCTAGCCTCAATCCCTCATGCTGCAACAGACATCTTCCTCCTTTGTTCAGTTCTGGCCAACCCCCTTTCACTTCTTTTTCTACTAGGTGAGTCTTCCCCTGCCTTCTCCCCAATTTAAAGCTCCCTGGCCTGGGCTGGTCACCGGAGGGAACGGAGAAGGGCACTCGGGGTGCAGGCCTTCTGCCTGCAGCCACAGCTGCTCTGTCTGTTTCCTCCAGCACGAGCCTTGGAGGCTGCCAGGCGCCTGCCCTGCCCAGGGAAACATGTTTTAGGAGAGCCCAGTTCCTACCTACCTTAGATATGACCTCATCTGCCGGGAGCCACAGCCACCCCGCCCCAGGCTCGGCAGACACCCTCATTTCCAGGCTAGGGCAAAGGGGAGAGAAAGCTCCAGTGGTATCTTCCCTAGCCCACAGCGTCAGACCAAACCAGGACAACTGGATTCTCAGGAGGGAGCTACAGAGCAGGGGCTAGGGGCTGGGGGTAGGGACCATTGCCCAGAGGAACAGTCCCTCTGCTTCCCCAGGGCTCTTCACGCCTCTCACAGAAGCCCAAAGCTCTTGGGGCCTTGGGCCTGCTCCTCACTTCTTGCTTCCAGAGCCAGGGGAGCTGGGGCCTGGGTTGGGGTGAACTCCAGCTCAGAGACAAAAAAGATAGGGAACAAAGAGGGTCCACACCTGGGTTTCTAACCGTTTCTAGAATAAGGCCATCTTTGAGAATATGATGAAAGCTGTGCTCTTCCCCTCCTCCTGCTCGCAGAACAATGCACAGATGCATGATTTTACATGTACTTTCAGGGGTCCCTGCACCTCCTGCAAACCTTCTATGAACCCCAGGCTAAGAGTTTTTATTCATCACCATGAAACCTCTCCCCTCTTCCAAAAGGACTCGTAGACTAACAGAATATAAGACTTGACTTGTTGGTTGCCCTAAGCTGTGCACTCAGGCAGCTGTTCACATCTGGCTATACAGCTGGCTGCAACTAAGCCCAGATGGCCCAGCTGGCTCTCCCAAAGGGCCAAGGGGCAGAATTCAGCAAGAAGAGGAGATGAACCAAGATATAGAACTACCCTGGGGAAAGACAGGATACCCAAGAGAATGGCCCAGACCTCTGTTTAGAACTTCCTGCCTCTCCAAGGGTCATTAGCTTTAGAACCTCCTGGGCTCTTAGCAGGTCTAATGCCATCTCTAGCCGCCCAGCAAGAAAGGTAGAGCCCCTCTGCTCAGCCATCTTGGGTGAGGCACATGGGTAGTAAGAGCCTGGCTTCGGCACAAGAGCACTAACTGCTCCCCGGAGACACAGGCATGTACAGAGCCTTTTACACACGCTGTCTGACTAGAGAGCCCCACTGGCACCTCATGAAGAAGGCATGCTGCCCCGCCTCCCTCCACCAACATGTAGAGACGTTAAGACTCAGGTATTAGTGACAGTTCCGAGACTGGAATGTGGCAGTGGGACTCGGGCGCCTCGCCTCTTCTCTCTCCAATCGCAAGCTGCCTCTTATAGGCCAACAGAGGCAGGAAGGAGGCTATAGATCCAGGTCCAACCCCTTTTTGGAGAAAACTGGCCCAGAGAAGGGAAATGTCTTGCTCAAGGTCACATGGCGGGTAGGGGGGATGGGGAGCGGGGTTTACAGAGCCCATTATCTACTCCAGCTTTTCATTATTTACTCTTGCTTTCCTGATCTTCTTTTTACACTGCATTGCTTTATATCATGCAGAGTCAGTCTGGAAAGTCAGAAAATCTTTTTCTGGGCTGGGGCAGAAAAAGCACCAATACAGAAACTTGTGCTGATGGTCACTTTTAAGGTCTGCAAAAGATGAAAGGCTGGCCGAGGGCATGGTGCTGCGCTGGGAAGGATGTGGTGGCCTTAGCCTCTGCAGAAGCTAGATGGAGGCCCAGGTAGATAGGTAGACTGGGCAGGGGCTGGGCCGACAGGGCAGAGGCCAAGGCTGGGGCAGAGTTTGGACTTTGGACATTCCAAGCTTCCTCAAGTTTCTGCAGGCTTCAGCCAGAGTTGAGAAAGGTTACAATACACCCTGTATCAGACCATGTCCTCTTGCTCAGTGGAGTGAGACACCAGGTAGGGATAGCTGTCTGGTAGGTCCCCCAGCCCAGAGACTTAGGTGGGGCCTGCCCGACCTTTCCTAACACCTTCCCTCCTGGGGTAGCCTGCCCTCCCCCAGCGGCCTTCTTCCCCTGGCTGTCAACCTCAGCACCTGAGCCTACAGAAGAAAAATCCCTGAAACCTGGACTCTAGGCAGGAGAGTGTCGGTGGCAGCGGGTAGCAGGAAGCAGGGTAGGAAACAAACAGCTGGATGCAATCTCCTTCTCTCCTCTCTCCAGTGGGTAGTTCTCCCCCCCTCCTTCTCCTTACAGCTGTCGGGGGGGGGGGGGGGGGGAAGTCTAACAGAAGAGAAAAACACCATTTCCCTCTTCAAACCAAAACAAACACACTCAGGGTTGAAGATTCAACATGAATCTGTGGAATGTGGGGAAGATGTCTGGTGGGAGGGCGTCCCTGCTGGGGGTGCGGTGGGGGCAGGAGACCAAGCAGGAGTCGGGACAGCTCCCTCCACTTCCCCATCTTCAAGGGGTCAGAGGGAGCTCCCGGACAGCTCCAAATGCCCAGACTCGCCCATCACCTCACCCTGCAACCGCCAAGCGCCAAGTCCCTTAGAAGGCCCTCCAGTCTGGCTCTGCAGAGGGTGTGGCTGGCATGGCCGGCAGACTAAACGCAAGGTGTAAAGGCCGGCGGGCGGGAGGGGGGGTTGTTAAACACATATATGCCCACAGGTTCTTCCCAGGAAAGGGGATAGAGGGATCCACTGAGTGTTTACCTTGCAGTTTTCCCCAGGTCCCAGCCCTGGAGAGAAGTATTCGTAGATTACATACTAGGTCGACAGAGTGGGAGGGGGCTTGGGAAACGGGGATCCCACTTCCACTTTCAAGAGAGGTTTAGAGGGTTGAGGGGCTGACTTTAGGCAGGTTCCGGCCGGTCAGCACTTGCTAATGACTGCTGACCCCATCCCACACCCAATCCCTCCACTTCCCGCCAGACCTCGGCCGCAGAAGGGCTGCCCAGGTCCCCGCCCCCTTAATCCCGGTTCACTAGAGCCGGCGGCCCGCGGGCCTGGAAGCCAGGCTGCGGCTAAGGCTCCGGATCCGCAGCCTGCACACGCACGGTCGCCCCCGCCCGCCTCACTTACAGGTAGCGCCGCTGCCGCTCCGTCTGCCGATGGAGGGCGACCGAGTAGCCGAAGAGGCTGCCCGGGTTCCTGGCCTCTTTCACCACCAGGAATCGGGTGTCCAGGTTGAAGGCGGAGGCGACGCGGCCGCCGGCGGCCACCATCAAGGCGAGCGCGCAGAGCACCGGGCGCGGGACGCAGGCGGCGCGGCGGGCGCGCGGGCCCATGGCTGCAGGGGCGGGGGCGGGGGCGGGGGCCGCGGCGGGGGCGGGGGCGGGGGCGCCTGGCGCTGGGAGCCAGGACCTGTCCACCTGCCGCGCGCACGGCGGGGGACCGCGGGGACCGCTCCGGCGGGCGCGTCCCGGAGCCCCGCAGCGCTGCGAAGTTTCTGGCCCTCAGCCCCGTCAGTGTCACGTCCGCCCAGGGTCTGCGCGCCCCGATTCCTCTCCGAGGCTCGCCGGTCTACCCTCCCGCCTGCCCAGCCGCCGGGTCACGGCCCCCCCGCCCCGGGCACCCTGCCCCCGGTTCGTCCCGGCCGCGCCCCCTTCGCCCTCGGCTCCGCGGCGGATCTGGGAACGCAGACCGGTGGATCGCGAGGAAGACGGGAGGGAGCGGTCCTCTGCGCGCGCGCCCCGCCTCCCCACGCCCAGCCCCGCACCTCCCCACCTTGCGCGCCCAGCCGGGGCTCCGCTTTCCTTCCGGGGAAAGAGAAAAGGTCCCGGCTCCGCCACCGCCTCTTAAAGGGGCAGCGCCGCCCCTCCCTCCTCATCCTCCCTAACCAGGCTCCGCCCTCTCCCCCAAACACCTGTCGGGAGCCCCCAAAGGCTTGGATTTCCCCTCTCCGCCCCTTGCTTCTCCTAGGAAGCGTCACCTCCCGAGCAAGATGGATTGGACGGGCGGGGCCGGGGGTGGGATTTGTCTGGAGGCTTTGCTCCGGCTGCCACTGCTGCTGGCAAGGCCGTTCCCGGCGCGGCCACCTCTGCGGGCCGGCTGGGGAGCCCCGGCGTTGGCGCATCTGGGAGCCCACATCTGCGCGCCCCTGGGGGCAATGCCGGCCTCGCCTCCGCAGCGCCGTGAATCCCTGAGAGGCGCTTGGCGGTCTCTGGGCCTTCTTCCTCGCACCCAGGCCCTTCGCTGTCCTTGTCCAGATGTGTTTCTCTTGCCCGCCCGCACCCACCCACCCTGATCCGGGCTGGATATGTTCCCTCGGCAAAGCCGGACAGACATTTAGCAGTGGTACTAACCAAGCGCTGCTAATTGTAATGAGCAGCAAGACAGCACTTCCCCCACAGGGCTCCGCCTTCTGGTATCCCTCATACACCCTCCGGGGTGTAAATGAGTCCCTTCTCCTTAGAATGCACTGTGTGGCCAGGGAACTGGGCCCAGACTGCACCCATATCTCATCCGCTCCTGCCTTCAGGGCCCGGCCCAGCAGAATCCCAAATGTCTCCTCCTCCTACCTGGGCTCAGCCTGAGTGTTTGGAGATGGGGCGGGGACGCCAGCCTCCGTGGGTGTGTAGTGAGTGGCACCAGGTGGAGGTAGGTGGGCAGGGCCCAAAGGCCCGGTCATCCTCAGAAGAATCTAATTGAAAGGGAACTTCAAGAGGTCACTATGTACTTTCTTGAATCTAACTCAGATTTTTCATATTGCAAGTACAAAGAACCACTTCCCCTGAACATTGTTTTCTCCAGGCTGAAGGAACTTTCTTCTTTTGGCCCAGAAATTCAGCCCTCAGCCCTCACTCTCTTGCAGTTTGATTTAGAGTCCCTGTTTCTGGAAGTTTATAATAATAAAATGAAAACTTCTATGTAGAAAATGCTCAAAAAAAAAAAAAGGAAAAAGTGCTAATGCAGCAGGAACTATGCTAAGTACTTTACGAGGATTATTAGATCAAACCTCACAATAATCTTTGAGGATTATCTGCTTCATGAGGAACCTGAGACTCAGAAAGGCTAAGCAACTTGGTTAAGACCACACAGCTTGGATTTTCATCCTGTATTATCTGACCTCAGAGTCCTTCTTGACCACTTGTGCTAATCATTAACATTTGTACACTACTCAGGGCAGGTCTAAGTTTGGGGGGGGGAACCTAAACTTGTACAATTTGGCACCCTCCCTAAGGAAAAGAAAAAGGAGTTCTGGAGTACAGAATTAGATTGAGAACCTGGAGGGGGACTTGAACATTATAGTGTATGAATTGTTTCATGTGAAGACTCATTTCATCCTCCTGTCCTCCCTGCGAGGTCAGTATTATCATCTTCATTTGACTTATGAGGAAACCTGGATGTCCAAGGTCAGGCAGCTCGAGGCAGGCAGAGCTAGCACTGGAAGCTACTGACCACACCTGTGTCTGTAAGAGACGAGTCCCGAGCAGATGTTGGTTAGATAGCCAGATGCATCTGAACAAAAGCAACTGCATAACAGCGTGGTCTATGGTGTTCATCCCTATCTGCCCTTAGGACAGCATACGTTCCTGAGTTGTGACTCCCAGAGCCACCCAACCTCTCCCCGTGGTCTGCCTTGTGGCCCAGGGTGTGCAGGGGTTAGGAGACATCTGGGGGCAAGGCATAGAAAGCTGACCTGAAGTTACCTTATTCTCCTTTGGGCTGGCTGCCAGGTCCTCCACCTTGTTTCTGGAGAAGGGGAGACAGCCGGGGCCAAGGAAAGCAGGGGCCAGGGTGGATGCTCAGTGTGGGCAAGGGGTCCTACCTGAAACAGCTTTGAGAATCCTGTGATGACAGATGGGCTGTATGCCAGCCATTATCTCTTGGGCCATCCCAAACAGGAATGACCAGCATGTCCGATCCCAGGGCTGGGAGCAGGAAAGGGATGAGGGATGGTTTTTCCACTCCAGGGGAGTATCCTGAGGGAATGTGGAGTGGGAGCAGGGCGCCTGGGAGTGGGGGAGGGCTCGAGGTAAGGAATGTGGAGGAGTGTCAGATAGATGGGGTGGGGCAAGACAAAGCTGGAGGAGGGATGTTGGGAGATGTGGACCCTGGAAGGGTCTCTGAGCTGAAGAGATGCAGGAGAAACCTCAAAGTTCATGACAAGGGTCTGAAGTCCCTTGGTTCCAGTGACAAATCATCCATAGCCTCATCTCATCCATCAGCTGACTTTATCGTGTCAACTCTTCTCCATGGAGAAGAGCCTCACCTAGAAAGGTAGAGAGAAACAAGGGCACACGAATAACATGTGTGAAGGAATCAGAGTCCATTTTTTTAAAGAATTTGTTTTTTTTTTAATTTTTATTTATTTATGATAGTCACAGAGAGGGAGAGAGAGGCAGAGACACAGGCAGAGGGAGAAGCAGGCTCCATGCACCGGGAGCCCGACGTGGGATTCGATCCCGGGTCTCCAGGATCGCGCCCTGGGCCAAAGGCAGGCGCCAAACCGCTGAGCCACCCAGGGATCCCCAGAGTCCATTTTTTTTATGTTTACTGCTGATAGCTGTAAGCCCCACCTCTTCCTCTCCCTCTAGGCCCCACACCTGGATCAGCTGATAACAGAGCCTGGGGCCATGTTCCCTCCTTTGGCATCCAAGGGGATTCAAACCCCTTTCCTGCATAAAGGCTCACCTTGCTTAGTCCCTAGCCACAGTGAAGCAATCTCTTCTTGCTCTCTCACACCATTTCAGACCTTGCTCAAAAGGCCAGCCCTGCTCTCCTCAGAGACCTCAATTATGTAAATAGTAAACTTTTTCATACCCTCCTGGCGTGTGTGGCGTCATCAGTCTTGACATCAAGCAAAACCCTGGGTGGGGTCCATCTGCTTCTGGAGGAGACTGTGACAACAAGCCAACTGTGGGTTCTGTTGTGGAGGCAGGGAGGCTTCTTGGAGAAGGAGTATCCAGACAAGGGAGCAGGAAAGGACTAGCAAGATGGAGAGAGAATATCAGAACGGAGGGAGAGAAGAAAGCAGAAGAGTTGGGACCTGGTTTGGGGTGAAGTTTTCTCAGTCACAACGATGGTAACGTCAAGATTCTGTAAAGGTGCCTCGGTTTATTCAGGGCTTGCTAGGTTTGCATCAGCCTTGGTCTCAGTAACCGCCACCCACATCTCAGTCTCCAGGAGCCCTGAACTACACTGCTTGCTCCCTCACTTCTCACAGGAAGATCGGAGTGCAGATGGGCTGTGCACAGGCAGCTGGAGAAGAAACATGGAGCAGAATCGGCGTGCCTCGTGGATTGAGTGCAGGCTCTCTTCGGCCCTCTCACCTTCATCAAGTTACTTTCCTCCTCCAAAACTCGATTTCTCCGTCTGTGCAATGAAAGGGCTGGATGTGAGTTCTCATTATTCCCTAGCCGGCATCCCGTGTGTCCCAGGGCTCTGAAGATTTGTTGAACTAAGTGGACCAAATCTTTGCTATTGAATTAAGACTCAGGTCTCTATCTCTGATCCGCAAATGCAAATTACTGAGGAGGGAAGGAGGAGCAATGAAGCATGAATGGGTTTATCAGATTTCCTTTCTCCTGTGACCTAGATACCACAGGGCAGGCGCCTAGTCCCTAGCTCAGAATCCGTCAGCCTCAAACATTCACTGACACCCTACTACATACAGGCACAGAGCTGAGGACCCCCAGGGGTGTCCAAGATGAAGTGGGACATTTTTCGGGGAGGCCGAGCTCTCATCTTGACCCCACATTCGGAGAGCTCTCACATGTAAACAACCTAAACATGCACCGTGTTGTATCTTAGGGCTGGGGCTTGTGGGGCAACGGGAGGGGGGCGCAGTGGGGGTGACACGCAGTCATTCTCGAATCTTCCAGCCTTTACAATGACTTCTAGTCTGGGCTTGCAGTGTGATTATGGATACCAGACTCACAGGTTTGTGGGAACACAGCACAACTGGGGCCCAGAAGTCCCTCACTGTGTGGTAATTATGCTCACTGTTGAGTACACCTGCATTTCTAGCACTCATGACAGTCCCTCAGACATGGGAGGTCTTCGCTTACCACATGTCCAGCCGAATCCACTTCGCCACATTCTCTTTATGGCCCTAAAACAGAGAACTCCATAGAGGTGAATGAGAGGCCAACTCTGTCTCATAAATATCCTCTTGCCCCCCGTCCCCTCCCCAGGCCTGGGATCCTGTTGGGACAAATGTCTTGGCTCAGTGGGTTGAAAAGGAAAGTCAGAATTCTGAGGCATGAATCGCTGTGCCCACTGACTCACTTCCTCCACCCCACCCACTCCGGACCCAGCTGGGCCCTGAGTAACAGGTTGGAGCCTCCTCCCTGCCCATGTTCCTCGTCCCAGCACCCACCTCCCTACGGCCTCACTGTGGACCTCACCAGTGAACTGGCCAGTGAAGCAGGGCAGTGAAACCAGCTACCCCAGATTGGAAATTTGCTTGTAACTTTCAGGGAGCTAAGGAGCAGAGAACAGGGCAGCCAGGACCAGGGAAGGGGGGAGGATTGGGGTGGTGGGTGCAGCAGGGGGAGGGCACTAGACCTGCTCTCAGGTCCCTGAATCTGATGGATGAGGCAGTGCACCCTCTGGAGTTTGATCTAGGAGGTAGCAGAAATTCCCTTCATCATTAAGGGCCCTCTCCTTTCCTGCCAGGATCACAGAAGTTCTAACCATGAGGCAACCTTCCTGTGGCCTAAGGCCTTGTTCCTGAATGTTCCTATTAAAAG